AAGAAAGGACTTGTGTCGCTAAAGTTTCGTGGGAACGAAGTTACAGAAAATTAATTAACGACTGGAGGCGTAACAATATCATGTAGACAGTGCAGTAGAGTTTGATAAAAGTAAAAATGTCGCATTATGGGTACACTGACATTAAAACACTATTAAATATGGCAATAGGATTTTTTGTTACTGATAACTTGGTATGGGGGATCAGAACTTGTAATGTGAAACAATACATTATGCTATTATTTTAGAAATATGTGCTCACTTATTTTACATATATACAAATACTACAATTCACAGTATAAATATGGTATTGTCACTTTGAATAAGCCTTAATAAAAAAGAAATTTCAGATGTGTTCTTATAAAACACAGCTTTAAAAGAAGGTATATTTTTCGAAATTAAAAGCAAAATAATAATTTCATAAAGATTTTTGTGTGTGTTTTGAAGCTTCTGTTACCAGCCAACTACATAATTCTACATAATAGTATAAAGTGACACGTCTTTAATTAAATCAAAAAAACTTATTAGGAAAACAAAATTTAACCATGAACTTTTTTCATTATTTTAGAACCAAGAAACATTCATTTTTTTTATGCTTACTTATATGTTGGGTTTTCAACAGCCATTACGTGGTCAGAGCTTGGAGTTTGAAAATATGTTATGTCATTTTTGTCCACCACTCGAGCTGACCCAGGCAGAGTACAGATGTTTGGATCAATCTTTCCAGTCTTGGGATTAAGTTGACTTATGAAATTTTCACGATGTTGAAGGAGATAGTGACGAATGTTGCCATAGCAACAATACTCCACTATTACCATAAGCTCTCCTAATGGAACAAAGTGAAATTTATTATTTACAACTATATTGGAAGAAAATATTTATTACACCATTATAACTGAAAGTTTCTAACAGATAAACAATGAGTAAAAATAAAATTAAAAGTCAAATATGTCTGTAACAAAATGCATGTATCTGTGAGCTATGTCTTTCAAAACAAAACATCACACAAACTCTGGAGCTAAAATAGCCTATAATGTCAAGAGTTGTATGTTTTGAACAACATATATGTACCAGAGGCAAATAAATCATAAATAGTTCACTGTGTTAAGACTACAGATTAAATGTTGAAAATAAATGTGAAAGTTTCTCACCTTTAGTAGCATTGTGAGTAACAGCACCCAGCACATTAACTATATTCAAATGATGTCCCAAGTGAATTAAAATCTTCAACTCTGCCATCAAGGCTTTCTTCTGTTCTTGATCCGCATGCTCTGGTTGACCAAAAAATAAATTAATCATGATCTATCTGAAAGTAGGTGAAGTACAAGTGTAGTTTAATGATATTTTACATTAAAAAAGGAAAGCATTGCAATTCATAATAATGGAATTTCATACTGATATGAATACCTATTTCCTTTCAATCATTTTATGCAATGGGACAACATAATACTGAACATACAATATTTTCTCTGAGTATTAGAACAATGTGGGTAACAAGAAAGCAAATTAAAACATTTTTTTACTCATTCACGTCATATAATTCTTAAAATTATGTTATGTTGTATCTTATAACCAACAAAGGTATTTTTCTTCATCTTCTAAGGTGAGTTTTAATGTCCCCTATTTCTAACATGGAAACAACTTCTGTCATGTGATATTGATATAAGGAAGCATTTCTAGCTGGTAATTAGTTTAGGCAGAAGTTCGAAACATTAAGGAAGCAATAATTAACCTTTTTATATATAGGTTGAACAAGAAAAAAAAATCATAGCAGATTAACATCTGAATTATGCATTAGAATATTTTTAACTCCCTGAAGAAAAAATACCCATTAGTTACAGTTTAAAATTGGTAATTCTCATAATACAGTATAAAGCAACCCCAGTGGCTCAGTGACAAGATTGGAGGTTTACAATTTACATTGAAATTTATTGTTTCATACCCATGGTGTGCACAACACAGATCACCTAATGTAATTTTTTTTATTTAACAGTAAACAACATGAAACCTATGTTTCTGCTCAATTACTAGATCAAGTAAATGTTTTTATACACTTCATTTTCTACACCTTAATACCTACTTGAGACTCATGAAGGTGTGGTATATGAACGTACTATGTGATTCTCTTTTCTTATAGTGTTATAATACTTGTTATGAATTTATTCTTTGTTCTAAATATGTGATCTTCTAAAAAAAAGAAAAAGATATGACTGAGAAAACCATTATGTTACCTTTGTTTCTCTATTATTTACAAAGTAGGTAATACTGTTACCACCTATGGAGAACATTGCTCAATGCAGCCTTATGTAAAAATGGCAAAAGTAACATCACTCAACTGTTCTTAAGGTGATATCTAGTGGTTATGGCCCTACAATAATTTAGTAGAAGCAATTGTCTGATGTTTGAAAGTAGACTGCAAGCACACATGTTGTGTTTGTGTTTCACATTTAATATTGTTAATTTGTTTTACAATTGTGTCTAGTCTCATTATTCTGTTTAACATTGACAGTTAAGTAACAGTCTCAGTAGTACTCTGTAATCAATATTCTGATTGAATATTTAGCAGACCTATCCAATAGCTCTAACTTGTATTCAGTTTTACATGATTATATCAGAAAAGGTAATAAAAACTCCAAAAAATACAGCAGATTACAATACCACACAGTAAGATTTTCAACCAAGCACATTGTAACATGATGGTAAACAATACAATGTTGCATTTTTATTTATAAAATAATATTTGAGATAAACTATCATAAAATTATATTGAGTTAGATAATTATAAAAATA